GAAGACAAGAAGGCCTCTGGCATGAAACAAATACTACATTTGCAGCATCCTTCTTGACAGGTAAAACACTCTTCTCCTCCCACTGCCAATCCTATCGGAGAATCTGGAAGGAGAGCCCCCTGCATCTCCTCCATCCAAGATTCTCCTTGACCCTTCCACTGAGCCAGGTTGTGATACAAGGTCGATTTTTAATGTGGACACCCGAGTTTTTCCAGTCGGGCTACTGGTCTAATTTTGTTTAAGCTGGTTAGAGCTTGTCTAAGCTAGTCATAGCCTGTCATACCAACACTACATAACATGTTACACAATGGTGGGAGGACGCAAGAGAGGAGAGAAGGCCTCCGATACAGAACAGATACTAAATTTGCAGCATCCATTCTGATGGGAAAATCCCTGTTTTCCTCTCCTGCCGATCCCTTCAGAAGAATCCGGAAATCCAATCAGTTCCTAACCATGAGGCCTTGTTTTCTGATGTCTTAATCAATTTACCATCAAATGTGTTCATAGTTTGTGGTGGACTTCACCATATTAATTTAACTTTAGATTAGGAAATGGCTGATGCAGAAAAGGATAACCAAAAGACATTGTTACATATAAGATTTGTATTTAACAAGATGTATAATATCAAACAACGATGTGAAACAAAGCATGCATTTAAGTAAGAAAAGGTTGAATAAAACAAGAATTGTCTCTCTTTAACTGTTATTTTAGTATTTCAAAGTTCACTGGAAGAATGTTCATGAGAGTCTTTTGTAATGTTTGTACTTGTAAGCTTTTGCTGTGTAAGAAAAGATTATGTGAGTATATACAAGGTATGTTCAGCATGTGAGTGGTGTGTGTGAGTGAGAAGGTTGGAGCATGGTTTCAACTGTTGTGAATTTGTTTGGCAGCTGAAATCTCACTAAAAAGGGTTAGAAAATTCTTGTTTAAATAAGTGACTATAGGTTCCAGATCGCTGCACAGGAAGAATTATTCTTCACGTGCAGACGATCTGATTGGTTGGCATCTACCAATCAGCGAGCAAGCTTAGGGGAGACTTAAGAAAGCTTCTGTGATCCGTTTCTCCCAAAAGTGCACAAAACTGACTACATAAAAATAGAGCGATTACAAAATTGTCGCATTGCTGCAATTTGTAAATTGTCTAGAATAACGTAGTGGTGATTAATTAACCAATGAATGCTTGGCGTTGTATGTGATTTGTATTTTTGTATGTATGTATGTATGTATGTTTGGGTGTAATAGATCCACACAAGTTAAGTATAGTGTAGCAGATGATAAATTTCATTAAGGTTTTGTATTTTTTTTTGTAAGGGGTGGGGGACAACCCTTAAAACACGTGACCTTTTATTAATAGATTTATCGGTCTGTACATCTATATTTGAGAAATTCTGCATCGATCATACTTATTATAAAACCCAGGTTGTGTGTGTGTGTGTGTGTCTGTACATTTATATATTGGATCGGATTTCCTACATTTTTCAACTGATTCCAACAAAACTTCACAGGACTATGTAAAATTACCTTGCGGTGGTTCTGACAGCGCCAAAAATTGGAAAAACACATGTTTTTGCACGAAATCAATTTGAAAACCCGATTAAGAGGCATAGCGAGAATGAAAGGGAGACAACTCATATCGAGTTATACTTATTATAAAACCCAGGTTGTTTGTGTGTGTGTGTGTTCGTTTATATATGGGATCAGATTTCCTACATTTTTCAACCGATTTCAGCAAAATTTCACTTTTGGGGGGGCAGGTAGTGTTTCTTATTGTCTTTCACACTTTTTTCTTTATTTTTACATTCAGAATGCTTTAAAAATTCCATTTACAAGACAATTGTTTATAATAAAATTCTATTCAATCGGTAGACTCACAACGATTAAAAACAATGTTTTTTTGTTTGAGTTTGGGTTTGACAATTCGTAAAAAAAAAAAAAAATAAAAAAAAACTAATTAAGTGTCTGTCAACCTTAAACAATAATCTTTGTCAATTTTATTTTTCAGTCTTTATGATGGTCGATACTTGATCTATCTCTTATTGTTACATCCCGAACGCGCCCGGCTCTACTACTAGTATACATATATAAAAACAAATCAAAATTCTTTTAAAAATAGTCAGGGTTCTTCAGATTGTAATAAGGTTTAAAATATATAATTAGTAAATATAGTTTTACTTAATAGCAATATTCCCTAAAAAATATCTCATTGAATTTGAACTTTAAAAGATTCAAAAACTTTATAAATTATTCAATTTTAAATTGTAAAAAATAAAAACAAATCTTGTAAAAATTCATTTACATCAAAAATTTTTTCTTCTTCAGGCAATACTGTCTTTTAATATATATTATTCATAAAAGCAATTAAAAGCTTCTCTATTAAATAATGTCTTAGTTTTATTGCACTTTTTATTTTTCTATTCAGAACAGATTTTCAGTAAGATCAAGTCCGATTTTACAAAATAAAATTAGTGATTTAAATTCTTCAAAGAATTCTACTTTTAACTAATATAGTCACTAAAAATTAATAATGAATTTCTCAAGGTTTCATAAAATTAAGGGAGAGAAACACGTGTAAAATAAAAATATTTTTGCCAAGATTTTCTAATAAAAAATTTCAAGAATAATTTCAATTATTTGTGAATAAGTCCTGAAAATTTCATTAAACTCCAAGAATTATTTCATTTTTTGCAAGAATTTCATAATTAATGTGTCTGTTACCGCAAAGATGCCAAAATTTGCTATGATAAAAAAAAAGTTAGTACAGCCACTGACGCAAAAAAAATCCTCAAGTTTTTTAATAAAAATTTCGAATGTTCTAAAAAGGAGTAAAAAAAAAAAGATTAATAAAAAAAAATGCTTTGACACTTCTTCATAATAATATAACTATTTTGATGATAAAATTAGGTTTTCGTTTTGATGTTTTTTTTAATCACTGTATGCTGACTTTTTTTTTGTGGAGGTGTCTCCTAAATGCAACATGTGTCAGAGGGCCCATGCAAGCTTATTAAACAAAAAAAAATTATCGGTCTAGGTTTATTTTATTTGTTATATCCGAAAATACACGCATCACCTTAATTATTTAGTATATAATTGTTCAGCATTTCTGTAATTAAAATAAGTCTCTGTATATCATCTTTTAGAATGTAAGAAAACTTTTCTTACTAAAACCGGAAGTAGAATTCTTCTTTTTGAAAACTAAATATAGTCAAGCATTCAAAATGGCGTTAAGCGATATTTTGGAAAATCTAACGAAGCCTGCTCCTTCATTTTTTGATGCCGAAGACGATTTTGGAGACAGTAAGTGATGATTATTCAAATATAAATTTTGATGACCATCATTTGAGAACATTTTATGTTGATTCTTCGAATATATTTACGCGATATTAACTTTTCCGCTTGTACGTTTAACGCCCCAATTGGAACATGTGTTTCTTGTTGTCAGTGTAAAAAACTGTAAATACTAAGACAAATAATACTTTTTTAAAAATACAATTTCAAGTTTTTTTTTTCCAGTTGAAGAATGAAATATTGTTTAAAAAATATATTTCTATTTCACTTGGTTTCTTTATTTTTGCATTTTTAATTGATCATTTAGGCGTTAAATACGTGGTTGAATGCTCCACGTGTTTAAAAATAAAAGGAAAAGTATTATTATTTTTTTTTTAAATGAAAGTAACAAAACTGTCATTGAAAAACTTTGTTGTTGATAATAATGATTAATCTCTGAGATTCGCAACAAAGAAAAGTGTTGTAAATTTATGGAACCAAGAAACTTGTCATTACTTCATCTCTCTTTCTCTAGTAGCGACAACCATCATTCTGGCATGAAATGAGTGTTGTTGAGAACAAATTTAGTCTCTAAAAAACTATTTTATTGGTAAATTTTGGTTTTGTTTCTCGAGCGCTAATATCACTTAAAATTTTTCCGAAATCGTCATAATTGCGTGCAACAAATGTACATGCTGAACTCGAATTAACAATTAAATTATGAAGAAACCTTCATAATTTTGGAGTTCTGTTATCGACAAGAAAAATCGAACTTCTTGTTGGTCATTCGTCCCCCATTACTGCCATCATGTTTAATTTACTGCGTAGTACCTACGCAGGCGTAATCAGAAAAATTGGCCGTTATTTTACAGACTTTACCTTTCAGAAAATCACTACGCACTACCGTAAAGAAATGTAATTTTTTTTTTTGCTATTCAAAACGGAAAAAAGATTCTGTTGTATTATTTAATTTGTTTTTGTTATAAATAAAACTACACTTACCAAAAAAAAAAAAAAAAAAAATTACATTTCTTTACAGTGTAGTGCGTATTGATTTTCTAAAAGGAAAGTCTGTAAAAAAAGATAAATAGGCCAAATTTTTTGATTACGCCAATTTGTAAGGTATACGCAGTAAATTAGTAAACATGATGGCAGTAATGGGGGGACAATAACCAACAAGAATCCGGTTTTTTCTTGTCGAAAATTCAAAATATTATTAAGGTTTCTTCATAATTTAATTGTTAATTCGTGTTCAGCATGTATGTACATTTGCACAGAATTATGACGATTTTGGAAAAATCTTAAGGGATATTAGCGCTCAGGAAACACAACCAAAATTTACCATTTTTTTTAGTCAGTTAGAATTAGACATGCATTTCGCCTCCTTCCTTCCAGTTGATCTCAACTCTGCTGTGGTTTAGCAAATTGTGCCAGTCCCTTTGCAAGAATTTTTGTTTGGAACAATTAATTAATCAATCGTGCCAGTCTATTACTTTTTCGGTTATCAAGTAATTTTATTATTTTATATCGGAGAGCTGAGTTCGAATTCCAGTCGAATCCATTCCAGTACATTCACTTACCCTTGGGAAAGTTATGAATCCTAGTCTTCTCCCCCTGCCCCAGCTATGGGTAAATAGCAGGACAGACGGGGTTTTATAGCCATGGATGGCAACTGGTCTACTGAGAAAGAAATGGCAACCTACTGCGGGAAAAAATCTGCCTCGTCAATCATATATCGAAAGATACATGATCGCCTAAGCGTGTATCACGCATGGCACATAACTAACTGAATTATTTGATAAACAATGCAGACTCCCTTGTTGTGTACGAGGACCACAGTTTCACTACACTAGGGGTTGTTGTGTAAAATTGGTTTCGGGAATGAGAAAAGGGATCACTTTTCCCAAAGTATTTTTGTGTGAAACGACTAAAAAAATAGTTTTGGAGACTAAATTTGTTCTCAACATTTCATTTTCCACTCGACTGATGACTGAACTCTCCACTTTACATGGCATTCAGGCATATTTTACCAAGCTTCCACCAATGAAGTAACACGAGTTTTACTTTTGTCGTTCCAACTCGGCACAAGGCTGACTTAAGTTCAACCATTATGACCATTCTTATCACTTACTTCTGCACCAAAAAAAAGAAGAAAAACAGACATACTTTAGACATTGATATCTTTGTTTCCCTACAGTTTCCATAAAAAGAATAAGCAGTTTGTAGTAGAAATCCAAGTTTTTGTTGCTTCTACACATTAATAATTGTTTATACGTGAATAACACGCGACGTAAATGTAGTGTAAAACAAAAGAGACCTGATAAGGGCTGAAGAATAGATCAGTCGAAATGTTTTATACAAAGAAGAGACAAGAGTCTATAATGGATATATAAAATTAAGTGCTTTGGCAGGCGAATCTCTTTCAACATTTTTTTTATAAATTTTATATGAATTATTATTATTATTATTTTTTTTTTTTTTTTTTTAAAGGTGAATTTATCAAAATCCTTTCTTGTGTGACAGTGATGATAGAATAATAAATTCCAAATTGGATGTTAAGTTAACAGTAGAAAACAAAAATAAAACTAAATTAAAAACGTATGTAGATGAAAATTATTCTCATATATATTCTGTAGAATGTTTCCTTATTTGTACTTCTTTCTGTTTTTAGATACTCATGCTCAACTTACTACCAAAGGAAAAGATGAAGTGGAAAGTATTGGTTCTTCTAAGCTCCGTCAGCAAGCAGCTTCACTTCTCTCAGACACTGATGTCAAATATGCTGGAAAGAAATCTTCACGCAAGCAAATCTTTGAACAACATCCAGGTAAGAATGACTTAGTTTTTTTTTTTTTTACCTCTCTGAACAGGATTCACATGACAAACACTGAATTATCTCCCTTACATTTTCGTAACTAGAACTCAAATTCTCTTTGGATTGGCAGTCATGTAAATAACATGAATTCAAACGAAAAATATCGTTCCGAATGTAATATAATTTATTTCAAATATAATATTACAACTAATTTCTGCATTTTATACGCTATTTTTTGTTAATTTCTGATGCAATGGTGTTAGGTTTGATCTTTTTTTAAAATTTTTGCTTTACAAATTCCGAGATATATTTGGTCACAAATATGAAATTATATTTCAGTTTTTAGTTGTTGAAAAATAGTTGAAATAGATACTTTTTTGTGTTATTTTCTAACTATTAAAGTTATTTTTGAATTGTTGTAATATTGGTTTGATTTTAGAAAAATAAAAAAAAAAATAAAAATTAGTGGTTCTCCAATAATTCTGTTACTGAAATTTTTTTTAATCTTTGTAAATTACATTGTATGAATATAAAAATTAGCAATGGGAATAGTTGTCAAAATCTTCCCTGTCAATTAGTTTACTATACACTTTATATACACAAATAGGTACAATCCTATATACCAATCCATTACAGGAACCTTTAGTTACTAAATTTGCACTGGATTGGTTATGGAACCGTCCTTGGAGAAAAAGCAAGTGTTCTATGGGAATATTACTAAAGGAAAAAAAAAAATGAATGCTTTCATTGCAGAAAGATGTATTGCTTGGCTTGACATTGAGGCACCCAGATAGAATAAGTAGATAATTATTAAAGATTTATGTTAGAAATTCAAAAGTGATTGAATGGGGAGGGGGATATTCTTTGTGGTAGGGAATTAAAAGAAAAGGACTATAAATCTGAATTTTGGATACTATTTTTCATTTTCTGATGCATGATTTCAAATTTAAAAGAAGACTTATAGTATGAGACTAATTAAGGAAATAATAATAATAATAATTAAGTATATGTTATTCAAATCTTGTTTAGAATTGTTGCTAGAATTTCGATGAAAACAGATAAGTGTTGTCTCTGCAACTATCTACGTGAACTGGCTAAAATGGTGTGTATGTGTGCTTATGAAGATGACCATCTGGAATAGAAATTTGTCTAATTAGGCAATTACCCCCCCTCCAACTACTTATTACTTATTACCCAATATCTAGTTTCAGACCTTTTCATAAAAATCAACATAATTCCTACAGACTTGTAGGAAACACATTAATTGCATAATCACAACTTCCTTGGGGCAGTTGAGGCAGGGAATTTCAGTTCTGGATTTTACTGAATTTTACGTGATTTATTTTAGAGGCAAATATTCCCAATGCCTTTCTCACAAGTATTTTATAGGTTCAAATTAACATTTTAAAACAATATTTTTCTTCATTTAACATCTCTACTCCTTCACTCAAGATTACAAAGTTTCTCACTAAACAAAATTTCATGCACTAATAAGACTCGGTTAGGTCCACTGCCTTGTTAGACCTCGTTATTCTCTGAATAACATCTTGAAGGTCACATCTATCTTTCTCTCTCAAGATATAGTTTGGTTTTTCTACCTTCTTTTTTAGCTATGGCTTTCTTATCTGACTTTAAGGGAAATGCTAGTTTTTCTCCTCTCCCATTATAATAAAGGGAAGAAAAATCATTCATTTCTTGATGAAAGCTGAAGAATAGATAAGTGAAAGTATTACCAATATCAAAAAATACAAAAGCCAAGTTCAATTTTCTTGTCAAAATTTGGAATGGAATTTGCTCTTGAGTCATTCCGTGTCAAATCAACAAGAGTCTGACTATTATCAACATGGATTTTTTTCAAATTTGGTACACTTATAGAGCTTCATGATACAAATTGAATGGTACCTATTTTACATCTCTAGGTCTTTTTCCTTTTCCAGAGATATGACCCTTACCAAAAAGGTGAATTTTGGAAAATAGTCACAAAGTTTAAATATCAATATCTCGGTTGTTTTTCCATCTACAAAGCTAAATTATGTACCATTTTAAAGTACTTGGATAAATCTAAAGGTGATCTATTTATTTTTTTTGTTTAAAGGTCAAATACGATAATTTAACTTTGACCATAATTTTTCAAAAATGTATCTTTTTTAATTTTTTTTTTTTTTAAATTTGACAGCTAATTTGTCTGCTTTTTGACAAGATATGCACAGAATCTTGTGGTCAACTTTTGAATGTGGTCTGAGTTACAAGGGTTTTACTGAGTTGGGCTAAATTCAAAATGGCAGATTTTGCTATTTGCCACTATATGCTAACATTTTCATATCTTCCAATATGGTCAAGTTGTATATCTTTAGAAAGCTCTTTGAATGCTGATTAATAAGAACTATGATAATAAGATCAACAGAATTTGTGCTGTTTGTGGTTAAATTTTGACCAATTCAGTGGAAAATAATCTTATTTTTGGTTTTGTTTACATTTTTATTATACAATAAATAGATTTTTATATGAAGAAGTGACATAGTGAAAATAATTATTTAAAAATGTGTTAATAGTTTCAAATAGGTGATGTGGTTGGAATATTTTTATTTAAAAAAGAATTTTCAGTAATGAAACATTTTGTTCTAGAATGAACCACAGCCTAAATTATAAAGGTGAGGGGAAATTTCCTGAATATTTACTAAAAGTGTTGGTTGGAATAAGGGTGCCTTGGGTGGGTTCTTCTCTTAAAAAGAATAATCATCATTGTTATTTGAAACTGAACAGTGATACTTTATAAGATGATCCTTTTTGACTTTGTAAAGAGGATTGTTCTGATCATATGATGAAGGGAACAAAATTCAAACAACTCGCAGAACAACAATTTAGACAAGAGGCTTCCTTTCCGATGTGGAGTCCAGATGTGCTTGTAAAATTTGATGTAAATCAGTATAAATTGATAAATCATAAATTTGTATTTTAAAATAATGAATAAACACATGTTGCATTTTAGTCATCTGTGTATATTATCATTGAAAATAATTAAAAAGAAAAGAATATGTCTTAAAATTTGCTCCATTAGTGTAACAATGATCCCTAAAATGTTAATTTTTCACCCAAAATAGGGTTGGGCATCTAATATATAGGCTGGTTAGTCAAGAAGTCATTTTTTAGTTGCAAAAATACAAAATTTGGTGATTAAAAGAAATACTCATAAATTTTTGTATCGCAATAACTACCATACTCTCCAGCTTACAAGATGCACTTTTTTCCCCCCCCAAAAATACCTTGAACAATATGTGTGTCTTCCAAGACAAATGTAAAGCAATGCCCAGGCTCAAGTAAGCTTGGATGGTCACCTAATTGGCTTGACTGATAAGGAAGTGGATTTGTATGTTGAGTCATTAAGCTATAATGTTAGCTATCTAATTCACCCTTTTATATGTCAGTACTTAGCTGTTACAAGTATTTCTAAGATTAAATCTTCCTGAAGCTGAGCCACATGCTTAAACATGCTCTGTTTACTAGCAGCAGTGGGAGCCTTTCTGCTCTTGACTAGTATGTCATTGCCATACAAACAAATTGGACGAGTGATTAATGTAAACAATATGTGGTACCCAGTATGTGAGGGATGCATGGTGAATATGTTGTTGTATGAGAATGACTTTTTTTTTCTTAGAAATTTCTTTCTAGTATTAGGGTGTGTCCTCCACGCTAGAATATACTGTATATAAAAAGTTACATAGCCGTAAACCACTCACATTCCCTCTGTATTCTGTTAGTGAGAAGTAAGTTCCACTCACAGTTTCTTCCTGTGAATCACTGGTCTGTGGAACTCACTCCTAAGAGAATGTTTCCCCCAATCACTACAATCTTAACCTGTTCAAGGACAGGGTTAACCACCCCTATCCGCTAAAATTACCTCCTAATGTAACCCTCTATCTTGACTGGCCCCTTATAAAGGGAAAATGTTGCTGTAAAAAAAAAAAAAAAAAAAAATGGATGATTTGAATTATATAGATAGCACAGAGATTCATATGACGTACCATTTTATCTGTGTTCTTATTTAATAACTAAATTTATGTTTTTATGAAGAATGTTTGGTTATTTCATTCTTCCTCTCTAGTCATGGAGATTTTGAGGAGCATGAAACCACTTCTTAATTTGCTGTTGTTCCCAGGTCCACCCTGACTTGGGGTGGTAGCATATGTTAGGGTCCCAGCTATGGGCAAATAGTTAAATCTCAAACTGGAGTCAAAACACTATGAAAGTATAAAAATACATTTTTATAGTACCAGCAATACATTTTCATAGAAAAAAAATTTTTTAAATATTTCTATCAATACATTCTTGTCAAAAAATAAAATCTACCAGTAATACATTTTTATAAAAGAATTTACTAATGTTCTGCATTAAATTACCCATGAAGGAGTTGATATGCCAACAAACAAACAAACACACACACAAACCTCTGATCGAGAGATTGAAGGTTTTGAGGAACATGGAACCACTTCTTAATTGCTATTCCCAAGTCCACCCTGCCTTGGGGTGGTAGCACATGTTAGGGTTTCAGCTATGGGGAAAATAGTGAAGCCCCCAAACAAAACACTATGAAAGTATAAAAATATCTATTCATAGTAGAATGATCAACAATATATTTTATCTATAGTTGAAGGCATGCAGTTGTGTTCAAAATATTTACATTTAGGCATTAAATAACCCATAGAGGTTTTGATATGCCGCTAAAAAAAAAATCAACCAGACAATGAACATGAAAGAACTCTTTCATGACATTAATCCATATAATATCCTACAGTTTCTTAAAGAAACAACATTATATTCCAAAATATAACTACAACATAAAATAGACATCACTGCCTGTAGTAATTATGTCCAAACAAACATGAATATACACAAAAGCTGAATTTTGGCAATAAATGACCCATGAAGGAGTTGATATGCTGTTAAATAAACAAATCAATCAATTCCTCCTCTCTGAGTTTTATTTCTCTTAATATTTTCAGAAAATGGTGATATTTCTGATGAGGTAAATAATGATGTGGGAGACTTGGATTCTGAAGATGACATAGACATTGAAAGTTTCAATAAAAATATCAAAGAAAAATTCCAGACTGGAAGGTAAGCAGTATTAATAATAAAAATCAATAATTTGTTTCTTGAATTAATACTGTTAATTAATCTTATATTACTTAGATATTTTTTTCCTCAAAGTGTAACATATCACAGTTCTTTTTCTACCAATTTCTCCATTGATTTGTGTCAGATATTTCTCCATTGATTTGTGTCAGATATTTCTCCATTGATTTAGTCAGATATTGATTGATTTGTGTCAGATATTTCTCCATTGATTTGTGTCAGATATTTCTCCATTGATTTGTGTCAGATATTTCTCCATTGATTTGTGTCAGATATTTCTCCATTGATTTGTGTCAGATATTTCTCCATTGATTTGTGTCAGATATTTCTCCATTGATTTTTCAGATATTTCTCCATTGATTTTGTCAGATATTTCTCATTCAGATATTTTCCATTGATTTGTGTCAGATATTTCTCCATTGATTTGTGTCAGATATTTAAATTAATACAAAAACATGAATTTAAATATTTAAAAGTTAAATATGTATGAAAGCTGAAAAACAAATTGCATTTGAGCTGTATTTATAAAATAGTATTGCAGTGAAGTAACTGTTAGGTCACTCTATATAATTGAATATATATAAATTAAAAAAAAAGAAGCATAATTTATACTTATGGTGTACAGAAAAAGCATTTTCATCAATTTAGAAAACAAGCTTAAGGTGACAAGACAATATGAAAAAAGTAAAACTAAATTCCATGCTTGTCTGTCTGCATTTATTTTCACACAAAAACTCTTGGGGAAATGTATGACTATCACTTCTCTTACCAGCTCTAGGTTAAACAGCAAGGAATACTCTTTATGGACAAAATTAAATATTTAGGTCTGATAATTGACAAGAAGGGCAGGAGACCAGATCCAGTATGTGCCGGTGCTATAAAGGACATGCCTGCTCCTGTCGGTACCCTACAAAATTTCCTAGGGTTAGCAAGTTACTATAATGTATTTGTACCAAATATGCATTGTTTGCGAGCTCTGTTGAATGAGCTTTTGAAGAAAGATGCTAAATGGACAATGGAATGCCAAGAAGCATTTCAGAAAATTAAAAAAAATACTAGCATCAGACTTGTTCTTGATACACTACAATCCAAAAAAAGAAATAATCGTAGCAAGTGACGCTAGTGCATATGGTATAAGGACCTGCATTATGCATTAACTAGAAACAGCTCGATTAAACTGACTACATATGCATCCAGGGTGCTTTTTCCAGCTGAAAAAAAATTACTCCATGATTGAAAAGGAAAGTTTAGTGATTGTCTTTGTTCTGAAAAAATTTCATAGATTCATTCACGGGAGAAGGTTTACTCTACAAACAGATCACAAACCACTATTTATGGGTCCAAAAAAAGATTACCGACTCATACGGCTAATAGGTTACAATGATGGGGAACCATTTTACTAAATTACGACTTTAAAATGGAATTCTTAAAATGATAAAAATATATATTTACAGTTTTGATTGAAGATGAATAAAATATTTTTTTCTTTAGGATTTTTTAGTTAATTTTTTGCCATTTCTAAATATTACGGTACATGTATCATAAATACGCTCAATATTTTTTTGCCATATAGTTTTCAGTAATCAGGGTGCAATAAAACAAAGTGGAAGCTCAATCAGATTGTAAAATTTAGGGTATAATATTAAGATTTAAAGGATCCTAATTCTATGTTATTTTCTATTTGTTCCCCACACAAAATGAACATAAACTTTGTCTTTTAAATTAAAATATTTTAGTATTTTTTTGTTTTTTGCTTGTAAATATTTTCTGAAATCAGATCGAACAAACATTTATAAAAATTTTAGAATCTATTGTTTCTGAATAAATGGAAAATATATTTTCTGATTTATTTTGAAAATTACTGCCAGTAATGATTTTAAGCAATTGATACATCAAAATATTTAGTGTCTTGTTTATTTCTCAGTTTCAGCAATAAATAGTTGGGTAGTGGGGAAATCAGCAGAGCCGAGATAGCATTGTGAATGTTACCCTGACCTTAGAAATAAGGACTGCCGAGTGTTCTACTGAGTAAAAATATCTTTATGTAGTTACCTAAAGCTAAACAATAATGTTCGAAATTTCAATGTGTCACCTGAAGATGGCCGGAGTGTACTGACTATGGCAATAAAGACAAGGACAATAGTAAATAGTTAAAATGTCTCATCTCAGAAACATCTCTCTCTATATATATATATATATATGCCAGAGTAAACAAACAGTAAAATATTTAAGATCGTATGCATTAAAAGTGCTCAATATCAAGTTGAAAGATCAAATTTGCAGAGCTGTTTAATATTTTAAAAGAGACATGAATGCTGACCAGAATCATGGTTTCGACCACTAAAATATATATAAAGTTTTTTCTTTTTGTGTGTGTTTGTAACAATTGTGGGGCAGTGTGCAAAATTTTGATATAAGAGACACAGATGTCAAGACCCCATTTGCATCCACAAAAAGCTACTGCACTGAGAAACTACAAAGAGACTGCCTCAAAAAATGATGACACAGTTCACTGTAGGAAATAAATTGTAACTTTTTTTTTTTTTTTTGTGTATATAATAATCCCCTTCTTTCCCAGACTCTGAATTTACAAATTGAATCTATGGACTGTCAAAGATTACTCAGACTTTCCAAAGTTTACACAAAAAATATTGTGCTTTGGGAACATTTGCTGTAAAAAAAAAAAAACTTGGGGCTGTAAATATGTAACATTTATGAAGGTAAAATACAGATATCTTTCCTGAGGGGTTTATAAATTGTACACTGTTCAATTATTAATGTTAACAAACTATTTTACAATATTATAATTCGACTGAATGAAAATTACTTACAATATAATACATATTACTTATAATACATTCCTTCTTGCTGTCAATTTTGATGGCTCTAAAGTACTCTCTCTCTCATATATATATATATATATATATATATATATATATATATATATATATATATATATATATATATATATATATTACTTTATTTTTAAAATTTTTGGACACTAATCATAAATCTAAATATATTCATGCATTAATGTTCAAATTCTGAAATGTTACATCCTTCATTTTTACAAGAAAGATGTTTTTGAAAGGTAGTCACCTAATTCAAATTGCTTCTATGTTAAGCACATAGCAACACTTCAAATTTGAAATGCTAGATAAAACCAAAGTGAGATTACTTAAACTAAAATACTATGTAAAAATTTATTGAGTTTAACTTAATTGAAATCCATCCTTGATATTGTTGGAACTTAAAAGAAAAACATCCTTTTTTATCATTTACAGCTTTAATAACAAAATATAACTTAGTTGTTTATTTGTGGCTTTTGCTGGTAACAGGTATACAAAAGGTCAGCATATTTAATATTTCTTTTCTATTCATTTTAGTACAATGCTCATTATGGTCTTAAAGGTTTTATAATGTCTATATGATAAATATTTAAAAAGTACAGATATAAAATTTAACAAAATGAATTTTTGATGTTGCAGAAACCAATGCAAGAAATGGTATAAATTAGATAATATAAACGTGCAATTGTAATTTTAGTAAATTGTTTTTTATTTTATCTTTTGAATATAGTACAAAGGAGTTGGGCTCTGATGGTTTTAGTGACTATGATGATGACATGGAAGAGGAGGAGGATGAAGATGATGATGATTATGAGGATGAAGATGATGATGATGGTGGAGATGAGGAGGAGGAGGAGGAGGATGAAGAAGAAGATAATGAAGAAGAAAGGGATGAAACCATGAAACCAGACAAGGGAGAAGAAAAAGATATCCAAAGTTTTTCTAAACTTGGTATTGTGAATGAAATGACCCAGGGAAAAGCAGTGCAGTGTCAATTGGGTGAGTATTTTGACAAGCATTTGTTTGCTTCTGTGTGACCTGATGTACACTCAGGAGACACAGGTTGGTAACAGTTTAAAACAGATATAATTAATGATCCATATTTATATTCAGATCACGTGTGATGATCTGACTTTGGTTTTGGCATCCTTTGTAAAGATGTGAATCCAACTCTCTCTGTACCAAGTCCAATTTTTATTTTAAAAAGACTTAAATATACTCACACATACACAAAAAGAATTTGAAGGTGTTTAAGAAATATGAGGTGAGGTAAAAACTGACCATTTGAAATTCAAAGTAGCCATTAAATAAGAAAAAACCTGATGCAATAATAAGCAGTGAAACTTTTCATTCCTTCTACAATGGAGAGAAAAATTATTAGAATCTCATTTTAGCCAGAGAAATCAGGAGGTGCTGAAAAGTGTTTAGCCCCTAAGAAGCTCCTTTCCTACAAAAATGTGTTTGGCTATTGGTTCAGGCAGAGGACTTTTCAGCACCCTCTTTGTAATTGCTAATACCAAAATTTTAGTAGATATGTTTTTCTACTCTGAAGTATTGGAGACATTTTCAGTATTTTGTATTCATCATCTGTTATTACAAGATCTTACTCTCTTTGTGGAACGTCCATAGCTTTTTAAGAAAAATTGTAAATCATATTACAATAAACTTAAATAGGTTTGAAGTGTTAATGAAAATGTTGTCAGTGAATCCTCATTTAAATATACTCTATATATAGAAAAATCTGCAATGTTATTGGTCCTGACATCTTGGCCTTGGTCAATTTCCCGCTGTTGTAATGTAGCTTCACTGTGGGTTTTTTCTATCGCTATTTTCATGACAATTGTTATACTGAGTTTCTCTCTTTGGTATTTACTCTTTATTAATTTAAGCATACTACTAGATTGGCGACAAGGTCTTGTTTTACAATTGAAATGCACTTCTTGCTTGTGGAACTCTTTCAGCTTCTTGTTTTCCAGTCAAATTTGATCTTCAATAATGTAAATGTCAATCATTATCTTCTGTCTTCTGAATTCCTGTTTTATTATTCTCTCTCCTTAATGTTTTCTTTTTCTCATATTCTCTCACACTTAGTAACCCATCGTGTCTTAATGGCTTTATTGCCTTGCTTGGGGTGAAATGATTAAAAAAAATTCCCAATTTGTTTTCCAAAAAGTACCTTGTAAAATAATTGAGGTGAAAATGACTCTCATTGTCTTATTCCTTTTTCAATCTTTATTTTATCTACATCTTTGTGCTTAGAATTATTAAACTGTTATCATATATATTTCCAACAGCTTTATATAGGGTAAAATTGACTCTGTGAAATTTCTAATTCAAATGACTTTATAGTCACACAAAATCTTACTTATTATTTTATATTGGATCGGTTTTATTTTTCAACCGATTTCAAAACTTCACAGGACTACTTTAAAATTACCTTTATGGTTCTTTAATTGTTTTTCAAAATCCTTTTTTAAGAGACATTGAAATCTTATTCCTTTAATAATTTTGTTTCATATTTTATTCAATTTTGCTGTTTAGTTTGGGTTTGAAATTGTAAAAAAACAAAAACCCTGTTTTATAAATTTAATCCTTCAAACTGATTGTTCTGAATACAAAAATGATAATTCTTTTTTATAAAATAAAAATAAAATAATTTTTACTAAATTCAAAATTGTTTTAATTAAGGCTACTAAATGAATAAATTTGGTTCTAATTAATCAAATAAGTTAATATTTTTTTATTAAAAAATATTGTATATTTAATTATGAATCTACAAGCAAAATATGCAATTTTTTTAAATTTTTCTAATTTTGTAGATAAAAGAATTAAAAATCCATTTACTAAATAAAATAAAATTAATAATGTTTCAATTTTTGTTTGAGTTTAGGTTTTTTAAAAAAAAAACTAATTTTTCAATCTTTAATCTTTTTCAATTTCTTTTTGAGATACTTGAATAAAAAAATCTTAAATAAATAAATTGTTAATGTCTATATTCTTATAAAAATATTGTTCTGACATTTTTTCAGATAAAAAAGTTTAACATTTTTTGTTGTCAATTCTTCAGGAAAAAAAATCTATAAGTTCAGTTTCCATGTTATGTTAATATCAAAATTCAAAAAATAGCTTTCATCATCATCCTTCAACCTCCCTGGGGTTGTTTGGTACTCCAGTAACAACCCCTTGCTTGGTCCTGCATTGCTGTCCACAGATCCCCAATGTCCAACCCAGAGTCCTGAGCCATGGTATCTGGCAAAAGTCTACTTTTGCAAGAAGACACCTCCAGAAGGATGCCATTAAAGATGAGACAACCTCCCTATCCGATCGGTGGCTGTGCTGTAATTGCTTTTCTTTGAGATTAAGAAAGGTTGGTCTCAGTTCTCCATAAGTTGTGTTAAGCGCTGCATGGGATCTCCAACTGATGTTCTTGATTTTTCTAAGCAGATTTGTATATGTTCCATTCAGTCGTCTTTCAAGACTAGCAGATAATGTCCAAATTTCTGATCCATGCAGTAGCACTGGTACAGTCAATGTTCAAAATGTTTAGACTTTTAAAGAGGATGGAAAGTTGGAGCACCAAATTTTGTGAAGTAGCTTTCAAACGATACAAATTGCACAGGGTGTATACAGTAATAATGGAGTAAAAAAAAAAAAAACGCCCTTTATGCACAAGTTTTTTTTCTCACCCTGCTCATAAGTTAAATTTTGCCACTCTATGACTGATATAATTTTATATTATGGATTTAGTTTGTCTTTGAGAGAATAAGTATCCAAGAGAGATGTTGAACGTAGCCTGTGGTAAAAATGGATTTTTTTATAGACTACAACTGGAAATTGTAGTGACTTCTCAAAAATTGCTTCAGTCAAAATAAAAATTTTAATTTTCCAAGTCACTCACAATTCAAATCTCGATTGTCTCCCCTGAATATTATTCAAATATCGATTGTCTCCCCTGAATATTATCTTCATGCATTTGTTGGTTGTTTTTATTGCAGGTTTGCTGGATAACTTTTTAGAAGCAAGGATCAAAATTCAGAGGGTTCTTGCTTCCATGAATCAAATCCCACAACCAGACACTTGGAATGATTTTATGACAGAAGGAGGAAACAAATTCTCTTCGACTGTCAGTAAGGGTATGTATTTGCAAGTATTCATTTAAAGTTAAGATTATTTAATGAATTAAAATTTCCTGAAATTATTGATGAGCTTTATAATTAAAATATATTCTGAATAATTATTATGACTTCATCTAAAACATTTCTCTCACACTAATCAAATATTTAAAATGGATCCTTTGTGTATTTAGTCCTGTATATGACAAACTATTTTCGGCAACAAGACCTCTGACTAGGAGATTGAAGTTTTGAGGAACCTGGATCCAGTTTTTAATTGCTTTTGTTCTCAGGTCTACCCTGACCTGGGGTGGTAGTACCTGTTAGGGTCCCAGTTATAGGCTAATAATGACATAGCAAAACACTATGAAAGTATAAAAATACATTTTAATATTAAAAATACCAGCCTATTTTCTATAAAAAAAAAAAAAAAAAAATGGATTTTCATACTTTTATAGGGGCAAAACAAGGTAAAATATTGAAAAATGATTGTTTTATCATCTGAACAAAATATCAAGGAAATTTTTAATCTGAACCCCATGAAACTAGGTATTTTCTGAAAGCAAAGAATATGTTCTTACATGTAAAAGTAAAATTGGCTGGTGAAACTGACACAAACCTTTTTTTCAGAGGGGGTAAAATGTGAAAAAATGGTGAAAAAACTAAAATTTTCCCCAATAACAGGAAATTGACCATTATTTTATTTATTTATTTTTTTTTTTGAAAATCAGAAAGTCTAAATCATAATGAAACAATTTCAGGCTTAAAAATTGATAACAAAATTCCCAGGGTGCCAGGATCAAAAATAAGGCAAAATTTTCAAAAATTTAAATCTATTATTTGGTGAATTATCAGTCTTAATTCCATGAAAGTAGGTATATTCTGAAAGAATTCTTTCATTTAAAAGTAAAATTGGCTGGTGTAAATGACTCAAAAATAAGGGAATAAAATGTGAAAAAAATAGTGAAAATTTTTCCAATTTTTTTTTTTTTTTTTTTTTTTCACATTTTGGAAAAAAAAAAATCCCCCAATAACGGAAAATTAACTATTTTTTTTTTTTTTTATATAATCAGAAAACCTAAATCATAACCAAACTATTTCAGGCTTAAAATTGAGTCTGAAACAAACAAAAAAAATCCCAGGGTGTCAAAAATAATGCAAAATCTTCAAAAACCCATTATCTGGCAGAGAAACAAAAACAATTTATCTTTCTTTTAAATATCATAAAGTTTAATTTTTCCTGATTTAGAAAAAAAGATTTAACGCCTTCATTTTTTTTTTTTTTTTTTAACATATCCACTGTTTTATTTTAAAAAAAAAATAAATAAACACAGTTGTACTTTTATTTCATAATTTATCAGTGAGGAGTTATAAATACCACGTTAATAGAAAGCATAAACAGAGAAAAAAACCTGGCATCATACAGGCATTGGGTTCTGTGAAATGGATAAAAATGGTGGGTGTATGAATAATTTCAACATTGACTCTCTGTATGTATGTATGTATGTATGTATGTATATATATATATATATATATATATATATATATATATATATATATATATATAAAACTTTAAGAGGTTAATGTGCATTGTAATAGGGTAACAAACTTTAGTGTTGCTTCCCAGGGTGTGGCAAAACACTAGCTATGCCATTGTTTTTTTTCTGCTGCATGTCCTTCGTATTTCCTATTGTCAGTTCAGATAGCAGTTTTTTCTATTCAATGATGTTCACACCAACTTAAAGAGAAAGGATTGAAGTTTGAAAAAAAAATTGTCTTGAAGTGAAAAAAAACTTTTTTTCATAAAAAAAAAGAAAAAAAAAGTGATTTTTCTCAGAAAATTGGCCATAATTTCTTATTGCTAACTGTTGAGTGACATTTTCCACAGCCAAATTGAAGATTAATTACCAGTGAATAATTCTATGTGCAAACAATAGCTGTCTGGATTCAATAACATGCCTGGAAAATGCCTAGAAGGTAACTGATTGTTCAAAAAATTGTTGCACATGATTGTGTTTTCTGCAGTCAGTTTCCATTGCTTCATCTTAATGTTGTCATTTTCTGACAGCCAGGTCATCGAGGATTCAGAAAAACACTTTCTATGAGGGGTTTAATGTTACTGACAAATAGGAATTTTTGCTGAATATTTCGTCCAGATGCTATGTTGGATTTTTCTATATGACAAAATCCAGCACTTTAAACAGCTGTGATAATTTCATTTAATGTGTGAATTACCATGACTTCTTGGGGAAAAAAGTGAAGTAGTTTTCTGTTGCCTTCCTTACAGTTTGGAATTCAGAGATGTTTTTCTAGAGAAGCCAATCTCCCCTGCTATTTAACCCCTACCTGGAGGTGGGCATAGGAGTGTGAAAGTAAATGCAACTGACTAGGCCAGAATTTGAACTCTGTTTGCCAGTTCCACTTTCTGTGCTAATAATTGTTACACTACCGACAATTCTATCTTTTTGTGGCAGAGCTCTTAAATTGAAAAAAATCTTTATTCTTCTTCACTAGTAATTTTGATATGATACAGATATCTGAAGTTACATAGCAAAAAAGTGAAAGATGTCTTCCACAAACCAAGCACAGTATTAAGACATCAGGAAATATCATTAGAAATAAAGAGTACTGAACTGCTATGCATTATCTAATCTCCTGTATTACAGTGAATGCTGGGAAATTTCTTCACAGGTGAAGAATATTTGAACCAACAGATGTAACATTAACAATAAATACTAGGGAGAAATGAGAAAAATAGGAACGATAATCTTATAACGCATACAATTAGAAAGAGATAGTTGAACTCAAAGAAAATTTAACTCACAGGACATATTGAAAGCAAAATAAGCAAGTGGACATTAAACTATTTAATGAGTTTATGTGAATGGATAGCAGAGCTAGGGCAATATGAAGAGAATGGGTGTGGTTTGCTACAATGTGCATGGTATGAAACTAAGGAATGCAGTTCATCTGAACACTTTCTATGGAAATAGGGATAAAGGCTTGCAATGTTTTGTCTGTTAGAAAGATGTTGGGTGGAAAATAATTCATCACCCACAAGAAAAACTGAAAAGTGAAGACTGGTCAGCTTCTATCCATATATGGCAGCAGTACTCCATTTTTGGCCTGATTACAAGAGCCAGATAGAGCTGAAAATTAAGTACTGTATAAATGGGCAGTAGCTGACCAGTCTTCACTTCCCAGTCTTAATAAGAGTCCAAAAACGTCTCCACATCCTTGTTGTTGATGAATTATTTTCCATGAAAACTGTTAAGATAAACTACATTCTTTAAGGTAGAGGATAGCAGGAGTCATGTACTGATTGGAGAGGTACTGGGAACTGACCATTTTCCCAGCATCTTAGATTGTATGTTATGAGTTCCACTTGAAATCTGGTTTGAGCTTAAGTCCCATTACATGATCAAGGCAGGGGGCCTTCCCTGAGAGAATGCCCCTTTATCACAAAAATTCAGGATTTGTCTTTGTGATGGTAGAATGTCACCATGTTGACTAAAACAAAATGGCTGTGTTTTTGCTTTACTTAAACTGATTGTCTTTATAAATGCTCTGCAAAATACATTGGATTTATAAATGAGAGCTGATCAAAATATTTCTTTGCATTTCTGTATAATCTGCTTTCAGTTCAAGGTTCACTCTGCAACTTGCTGAACTCCTTGGTGGAACTCCAGACCACAGTTCTGATGAAGAATCCCCAAACTCAACACATCGTAACTGGAGAAAAAGCCAAAGAAGAGTAAGTGAATTGTACCATTCCATACTTCCCACTTCCTCTCGTTTTTTCCCCCCACCCCATACATTGCAGAAGATTTAACAATGTGGTTAGCTATTGTTACTCATTACAAATTCATAACAACATTGATTGCATGTGATCATGGCAAAATAGTCTTTATTAAAAATTAGTATTTTGTAATGACTAGTTCAGCACTTTCTGCAAGATAATCAAACTTCAAATTGTTTGTCTGTTTCAAATACTACATTTATTAGAAAATGTATTCAGTTTAAATACGGTGAGGGGCAGTCATAAAAATGCTTGTCTCGTTAGATTACTTACAACTGAGTAGTGAGTTTAATCCTCACTTGATGTTATATACTTATGGGCCTTGTGTCACATCTAATCTATGCTCAGTAAATCAGGAGTCATAAAAATGACTTCAAACGGCTGTACATTTAAAAATTTTTTTTTTTATTACAGAATAATTTCTGAAAAGTTAAAAATCTTATAATTCTCTTTTTTTTTTCTCTTTCTCTCTCTCTCTCTCTAACTTTATAATTTTATTGTGCAGTCACAGGAGAAGTGTAGTCCATATTGAGTGGGAGGAGAATTTATTCCAATGTCTTTATTTTAAAATTGGTCAAATTGTGCGTGCATGTACATACATTAAATTTCACAACACATACGTTATATACCTTATTTTGAATGTGCAAAATCGCACACCGACTGCGTGTGATTGACAGTGAATCGACTTTTATTTTATAGATTGTAAAAATTTTCTTAAATAATCACGGCAGCCATATTCTCAAGCAAGGGAGGTAACTAACGATTTTTGTTATTACTTTTACAAGATTTTCACTTTATTTTTACCCTTTATTCAGGGATAGTGACGAGGAGATCTTCAGTGATTTGGAAGATGAAGATGATTCTGGAAGCAGAGAAAAACAAAATAAGTTGAATACAGAAATGAAAAGAAAACTTACCATTGATGAATTTCCAATGTTTGTTGCTAAGAGAGCAAAAACATTTGAGTCTTACAGGTGAGATTGAAGCTTATGACTTGTTGCAATAAACTGCACTCATTTTTAAGTGATTTATTATAAACAAAATTTCAACTTTTACTTGAGATTTCAAATAAATTGTTTAGAAATGAACAATTATAATTGTAAAGCATCCATTTCTAAGTTTAAATTTTTATCTAAGTTTTTAATTGTAAGTTTAAAAATAGAAACTCCTTATGACACCTTTATGCTAAGAAGAGAATTAAAAAATTTATTAAATTCAATTTTTATCTGATATTAATTCATTTTGATGAAAATTCTTATATCATCTATACCTATCATACTGCTTGTTTTTTTATAGTCAACCTTACACCTTTCTACCAATGATCAGTGTAGTATCTGTGCTCAATTCCCAGTTGTTTTTTGACTGAGAAACCTACATAATATTAAAGAGGAAAGAATTGAGGGTGGGAGGAAAGAGGGTATGAAGGAATAAAGGCTGGAGGTAAGAAAACTAGAGAAAAATGAAAACCAGGTGATTTTTTTTTTTTTTTATATAAAATGTATGTATTCTGTTCAGCTTCTTCAGGTCAGAAGAAGCGAACTGAAATACACCACATTCAGTGAAATGTGACATCTATAAGCTTTTACACTTTGTCTTATCATCCACTTTTGTTTTGGACACATCCTACAAACATGAGCACACACGCACACACATATATATATATTATACTTATTTTTAAAAAAAATATGATTCCTTCCCTACATAAGAGTTCTCATGTTTCAAAGACAAGAGCTGAAAACCTTAATATAATTATTAAAATTGAGTTAAAGTATCAAGCCCTGTTTCATCCTCAAGCAAAAATTTAGGAATAACCAATCTTGAAATTTACGCATCTTTATAAGCATGTTCATTCGCAAAATTAATTACTATAGAAAATGATTATAATTTAAGCTTTACTTTTGTATGGAGCACTGTTTTTAAAATAAAAACAAAAATACTAAAGAACTCCGGATTATTTACCTAATGTGTTCTTTCCTATTTCACACACACACACACACACACACACATATATATATATATATATATATATATATATATATATATGGTAACCAAAAATATTCTTGCCATCTTTTCATTTTTATGTCATGTGGGAAGAAGAGATTGCTGCTATGCAGATGAGTGTCATGTGCCAGGAAAGTGGTGCGTGTGTGTGTGGGAGGAGTCATTGATCTTGACCGATGCAGATGTGCCCCATGTACATATATCAATCATAGCTTGAGCAGCAGTGAGGAAATGTTGAAGTAGTTCATTTAGGTTTGCCTACTTTTTGACTTTAAGGTGGGATTGTCTGCAGCCGTATCAAATTGCCTAATAGATCAAGCCTTTGGGGATAATACTGTGAGTAAATGCACTGCCAGTTATTGGTTCCAGTTGTTTAGGTCGGGAGATCTCTTTGTAATGAGCCCCTCAGTGGTTGGCCACAGGTCCTGGTTTCTGGGTTTCTGATGAAACAGTCTTCACCTGCACCGCATAGAGAAGGCGTATGAGTTGAGCAAGTGGGTGCCTCACACAATTTTGGAAGCTAGCAAGCAACAATAAAAGACAACCTACTTTCTCAGTACTGCAATGTACACATATTTGATCGAGTCACTCATCAACGACAAAAAGTGGTACTGTATGGCACTCCCAAGTGTGCCCTATGCCTCATGCCACAAGACCACATCTATATGCATGCAAGCTCATGCTCTGTATCTAGTGGACTAGTTGACTACTATGTGCTGCTACCAACGAGCCAAACCATTACTGCAGGCCTGTACTTGCAGCAGTTGGAATGTGTGCAACAGGAAGCAGGAGCAGCCAGTATTAGTTAATTGCAAGGGTGTACTGTTCCTCCATGATAATACCAGCTTTGTGGGTGGCCAGGGATTCTATATAGTGACTTGGCTGGGAGACACTGTGCCATCCACCTCACTCTTCAGACTTTGCACCAACAGATTACAACCTCTTCCATTCCCTGGGAAACCACCTTCATAGGAAATCTTTTGTAAATGAGGCAGACTTGTGGCAGGCACTCGCAGACATCTTTGCATCCAAGGTACCTGATTTTTACTGTTGAGGCATTGTGTAGCTGGAGGCACATTGACAAAAGGTTCTGGATGGCATTGGGGATTATTTTGAGAATTAATGGTATGTCAAATTTGCTGTATACCTTTTTTTTTTTCTTATAAGAAATGTCAAGGATTTTTTTTTGGTAACTGTGTGTGTGCATGTATGTATGTATGTGTGCATGTGTGTGCATGTATGTATGTATGTGTGCGTGTGTGTGCATGCATGTATGTATGTGTGCATGTATGTGTGTGCATGCATGTATGTATGTGTGCATGTATGTGTGTGCATGCATGTATGTATGTGTGCATGTATGTGTGTGCATGTATGTATGTATGTGTGTGCATGTATGTATGTATGTGTGTGTGTGCATGTATGTATGTGTGTGTGTATGTATGTATATATGTATGTATTGTTGTATCTGAAAAATGCTATTAGAAATGAGTTATTGTTTTTAGAGCATGCAGTAGCAACGCTGAGTTTGATTTTAAATTTTACAATTGTGCGTTCTTGTACAAATATGGTGATAAGTGAATTCTTTTTTACTGGTAAATTTTCTGTCAATACATATATTTTCGTTGTCCTCTTATTACTGAGAGTAAAAATAAGAACAAAATCTATTCCATACCTGAAGATGTCTGTAGGAACAGACGAAAGCTTGTAGTAAAAATAAGAACTAATGCAACAGAAATTTATAAAAACAAGGATCGTTTCATTCATAACAGGTTCGGGGTTTTTGTATATTATTTGAATTGTTTGCGACGATGGATTTCTCGCCAATTAAATCATTAACCTTTTGTATTTGTTTTTTGTATGAATAATTCATGAATAATATATATATTTGTATTGATATAAGTTTGTGACCCTGGGTTTCATGCTTTTGCAATCACCAGACAAACTGGTTTATTTTAAAAAAAAAATTGATCAATTTATGCTTGTTTGACTATATTTAGTGATGGGAGGGGGAATTTCCTTCTGTGATTGTTTGGGATGCTACTCTCATATGCATAGGCAAACATATATACAGGTGTATGCATCTTAGTTCACATAAATGCTCCCATATAAACAATCCAAGGCCAGGTACAGATACACATCTATCTGTTCGGGCATACATACATATGCAATTTTCATTCTATTTCAGTGTTGGGATCGTAGCTTTTTATGTGTAGCAATGTTCCTTTCAATAAGGAACAGGTAGGGGGGTGTTCTTGACACTTTTCAGATCTACTGTCTGTGTCATCAGAGAAACTTACCCTTCCTCACTAGTTCTATCACTGATATTGAGTGCTTACTAATAAGTACTGCACATACAAAATAAAATATATAAGTAAAAGGTTTGTTCCTTTGTTGATTGATGTTACATTTAGCATCCTGACTCCAGAGTTTCATGGACGGTACTTTCGAAAATCACTTCGTTCACTTGTCAGGGTTATCAGCAATTGATTGCTTATACTTCTTGATTTTTCTTTTCTTTTTTTTTTATATGCACTTTCAATGGTGTGAGCTGCTTTTTTTTTTTTTTTTTTTTTTAAAAACATTTTTATAATGATATTAATGCTATCTATCCATATATGTAAAATTATATAATTCACTGTATATCAAATGAATAATTTCTGCAAATAAAGTGCTCAATAGTTATCTAGAACAATAATTATTGAATCAGGAATAATAAATACCTTTTGGGTGTAAACAGATTTTTGTAATTTCTCATTCATCAGGTCTTTGGACAAGAATGATTGTATTGATTACGCAATGTCTGTTTTATTTATAAATTATTTATTATTATAAAATAGTTATTCTGTAATCAGTACATTCATTCTTATCTGAAGTCCTGGTGATTGAGAAATCATGAAACTTAGTTGAAATCTGATAAGTATTGTGAGCTTTATTATTGCTGATTCATATATATATATATATATATATATGATCCGCTTAGGTGAAACCTTGGTAGGTTTGTCTGGATCTCTAATTTTAACTATATATATATATATATATATATATATATATATATATATATATATATTAGTTTTTGTTGTGATCCTTTCATGTTCATGAATTCATTTCTTGGTAACCTTAGAAAATTAAGAAAAATACCAAAATTTTCCGTCAAATAGTTTTTATTTTCAGGTACTTTCAATCTCATCTGAGACCATCCAATTACTATGATGATGCTAACAAAAAAGCTTACATTTCATTTGGCTGAGCATAGTTCAATATCTCAGCATTTAAAGGAACACTCATGCCCACACTAATAGATTAGACAGATATTAGTTCAAAATACATCTATATTACATAAAAGCAATAATAATCAAAAACTAAAAATCCTTGAAGCCCTTTATATAAGAATTAAAACCCAAAATAAAGTCAACTATGAGTATAGCAACAAGTCCAGTCCTTAAATGCTTATTAAGAAAAAAAACCCCCAAAAACATATATATGAGCAAAAATGGAAAAGTTACTTCCCTTCTACTGAGGGGGTGTGGAACCAAAACGTGAACTGTGAAATCTAGAATGCTGCATAAGCAGTAAAAATGAACAGTTGAAATGTTTTGAATCGTTTTGGGGTGGCAGTTCATATTTTATATGGGGATTGTTGTTTTTAAAAAAGAAAATTGATTTTGTTTTGTCTTTAAAATATCAATATCATCCTGGGTATGATGATAGACTACATCCACGTCCTGGGTAAGACGATAAACTAGGTCCAGCAGCAAGGCCTCTGATCAGGAGGTTTTGATGAGTGTGGAACCACCTCTTAATTGCTGATATTCCTGGGTCCACACTAACCTGAGGTGGTAGCACCTGTTAGGGTCCTAGCTATGAGCAAATAGTAAACTGGAGTAAAAACACTATAAAAGTGTAAAAATAGGTTTTAATACCAGAAATATTTTGTGAAAAAAATTTATTACCAGCAATAAATTTTTGAAGAAGAAAAAAAACTAACTATTACCAGCAATACTTTTTTGAAAAAATATAACCAACAATGTTTTTAAAAAAAAAATATTACCAGCAATACTTTTTTGAAAAAAAAAAAAAAATATTACCAGCAATACTTTTTGAAAAAAAAAAAAAAAAAAAAATATTACCAGCAATTCTTTTTTGACAAAACAAAATATTACCAGCAATAAAAATTTTGTCAGCATTAAATAACCCATTGAGGCTTATATTCCATAAACCAAACCAAACTGAAATAAGGAGAAAAAAATCAGTATTATAATTTTTTTTTTTTTTTTTTTTTTTGATAAATACTTAGATGTGAATATTTAGATTATAATTCTACCTTTTGTAACTTGAAGTAATTTGTATGGATGTGCACGTGTGTGTTTTTTTACCTTTTCTTTTATATGCAAAATTCATAATTTTTCACGCACTGTATATCTGTATTTATTTATTTTGAATTAAAAAACTGTATTTAGCCCTGGCAAAACACATACTATACAGCCATGTAAACGGTTATGCAGTTCACAATTATAATGTGGTTGTGAACTCTTATGATCGTGATCAGTTGATGGACATAGGTAGCTTAAAATTCCACCCTCTCTAGGTAGGATTTAGCTGGTCTATTAAAATGCTTTAATTAATGTTTGATATTTCTTCTCAGAAATTCTACAATCCAGAAATGGGATGACAAGACAAAATTATCATCTGGGAAGATCAGCAGTAAGTCGTTCAGTGCACTTGATCAGTCGGCCATGAAACAAGTGAAACAGGTAAATAATCAACACCTGATTGTTGATAAGATTTAATCATTGTTGCGAAATTTTGTTCAGTTAATTTTATAACTTATTTTTATACTGTTTGTAGTCTTTTATTGTACTGAATTCTACATTCTCATCTATTGAAGAATAGTAGGGTAGACTGGTTTCTTTAGCTTTGGTTGTACAGGTTCTTGCTGCAGTACCATTTAACTCGGTACAGTTTTTTTATTTAACTTAGTTTTGGCACGAAGCCCTTCAGTGACAATTGAACACTTTACACAGTGGTAATGGTTGACCATACTAGTTCATTAACCATTACTCCACACTGAGATGTCCTTTGTTATTTACTAAGCCTAGTTTATTTTATTACAAGACCACAAGTAAGGGGTATTCAGTGAGAGTCTAAATTACTACTAATGATGTACACTTGTTCACCATTGCACCATGTTGAGCTTTTTCTTATTGTTGTTGTGTTTTTTTTTTTTTAACCCACCCCAGGCAAGGTGATAATACTACTAAGATGCAAGGGGTTACTGGGAGTTAAAGAGAATGTGAAGACATTAATGAGGTAAAAGGACAATAAAAGAAGATTCAGAAAGATAAAAGATGGTGATTTAACATTTAAAAAAAAAAAAAATTTGAAGATTATAGGTAGCAGGGAAGCAAGAAACTGGGAGAGAGTTCCACAGGCAAGAAGTGCAAGAGAAGAAACTATTAGAATAGAACTTATGGTTACATTTGGTAATTTCAACAGTAAAATGGTGAAACCTAGTTGCCATTCTAGTAGTATACTTAAATTAATACAGACGAGGTACGAAGGAAGAGAGCTTATCAGAACAACTGCCATGAAAATATTTATAGAAAAGATAGAGAGAAGTCATGTCATGACAGTGGGAAAGTGACTGAAGTCAAGATGCCAAGTCAGAATCGATAAAATATTTGTACTGTGTTAAGTAAAATCCCATTCTATTTTATATACAGTTCGACCGGAAAAAAATAAGCTATGAACAGCTACTGAATGTTAGAAAAAAAAAGAATTTGTCACAGATGACTCACAATAGTTTGTTACAATTTATTTTCCCAGAATGCAAGTGATTTACTGTGGAAATAAAATTAATATATATTTATTGCAATACTTCATGAGCTTCTGATGCTTAGCTATGATTAATTAATGATGAACATGTCATTTTTGTTTATGATCGATTTCATCGCGATTCTTTTGTTAAGCTTGGAGAGTAATTATACATTCTTATTGCTCAAAGTAGAGTCCAGTAGTGTTATAAAAACCCCAGAGAATTCCAGTAAGTTATCTTTAATCATTTCTAAGATACAATGGTTCAAAACTTAAGCAAATGGACAATTTTGCTTTTACAGGGTTTGGAAAACTTTTCTGTTCCATCCAGTATATATTTAATCATTTCAGCCCCAAGGAAGATGATAATGCCGCTAAGACACAAGTGATTACTGGGAATGAAATATTGTAGGTAGCAAGGAAGCAAGAAACTGGAAGGTGAGACATGCGAGAGAAGAAACTATTAGAATAGAACTTACGGTTACATTTGGTAATTTCAACAGTAAAATGGTGAAACCTAGTTGCCATTCTAGTAGTATACTTAAATTTTTACGGTTAGGGTACCAAGGAGGAGAGTTTATTAGAATAACTGTCATAAAAATATTTATAAGGAAAATCATATCATGACAATGGGAAAGTGACGGAAGTCAAGATGCCAGATCAGGACCAATAACATAACATTACAGACTCTTTGGATTTTGTCAAGAATCTTGAAATATATAGCAGGAGCACCAAACCAGTAATATTCAGTAACCAGCAGTCTCGATCATTACAATCTTAGCCTGTTCAAGACTTTCTCACATATGCCCATAAACTCTGCCTTTTTCCCTGTATTGCTCTACATTACATGGCTGTTAGGCCATGTACAGTGTGAACATCATTGTAAATAAAATAAGCCATATACAGAAACAATTCATAGATTACACCACAATATTTCCAAATGCCCATACAAAGGTTTAGAAGTGTCTTTCTCCTAGATTGGTTGCCAACATTAGAGAGTTCTATACTATTAATACCATAGCAACAGGGAGATTAAGAAATGCAATTTCCATTTAATCACTTTTAACGAACTGCACTGGAATTCAGTCTCAGTCAGTGCACGGGCAAATAGTAGATTTAGAAATGTGCAAGATAGATTCTGACGAGAAAAATTGTCTGGCATGACACAGTGAACCAACTTACCTATCAAATGATTTGATATAATCACTCCACTTCATGTCCATGGAAAATGTAAGCCCAAGTAGGTGCAATGAGGGTTAGCATCTTCCATACTGATGGAAGGCAAGAAAGGTTCTCTATGATGGTTTAAAAGAGAACTGTTTCATTTTGGAGGCGCTAAAATTTATGAGCCATTCCTTGCCCCAGTTAACAAATGATTGGAAGTTATTTTTGAGAGCAGCTTCCAGTCTTAGTTTGTTGGACCGATCTGACTTAGTATTAAGACAGGAGTAAATAGGTGTCATTAGTATAAATAACCAGTTAGGAACTAATGACATAGCTGGTTATCTTCTGAGTGTACTTTAGTTTTGCTTCAATACCACAGATATAGAGCATCTTTCAAATCTACCATTTGTCCTTGCATTGAATACTGTTGCCATATAAGGTCTGGTGCCTCCACTGTTCATCTTGAGGTTGACAAAATCCAAAGTGCAATATGCAAAGTGATAGGTCATGACCTAGCATCTCAACTCCAGTCACTTTCTCACAGACATGGTGATATGGCTTCCCTCTGTCTTTTCTACAAATATTTTCATGGCAACTGTTCTGATGAGATATTTTGACTGGTGCTCTAACTGCACGAATTTAAGCATGTTACTAGGTTGGCATCTTGGTCCCATCCTTTTACTGTTGAAACAGTTAAATGCAACTGCCTCTTCTACTCCAACAGCTTCTTCTCTTGCATTTCCTGACAGTGTAACTCCCTTCCTCATACTTGCTTCCCTGATGACTATAATCTTCAAAGATTTAAATGAAATGTCAATCAACATTTTCTGATGCCTTGATCCCTGTCCTTCTCTTTATCTTTTCCTCAAACACCTCCTCTTTACACTTCCACTCACTGTAACCCCTAGTAGCACTCCTGCCTTGCTTGGAGTGAAATGCTTATATATAATATATATATATATATTATGAAATGGACAAAGTCTGACAATTATTTTAAGACATTTTTTATGTTTATACGTTCTTTTTATACATACAAATATTTAAGTAAATGCTCTGTTTATAATAAACAGTATTAGCGACATTTACCGGCCTGAATAAAAATAATTGTTGGACTTTGTCCATTTCATAATGTGTGACGTCATTTGTTTACATTTGGATACGCATCGAGCAGAGAGAAAATCATGGAGAATTGTAGTTTAAAAACTGTAAAATTGACCATGCTAACCAAAACGCTCCTCTGTGGCTCAATCGGTAAAAGCATGTCAGGCTATATGATGGTTCCGTATAGGATACAGGTTTGGTTCCTGTCGGAGGACGCATATTTTCTATTAAAATTTCTCAGACATTGAGGCCGGTAAATGTCATTAATACTATTTACTATAAACAGAGCATTTACTTAAATATTTGTATCTATAAAAAGAACGTATAAACATAAAAAATGTCATAAAATATATATATATATATATATATATATATAAACACACACACAGTGAGGATTGAACTTACTACTCAGTAATCAAGATCTGTGAGAATTGGTTTACTAATTGTTTCACTAGAACCACATGCCCAAACCTGTTGTATGTCTTTTTCGATAAGAATTGTCATGAGAAATGCCATCAAGGGCAATTACTCTGCATGACACTGATATGATCTTTAAGCTTATGGGTTGAACTGGATATTATTCATGTTTTTTTTTTAACTTGTATATTGTTGATTATTGTTGAACATCAAACGGCACATTTAAAATGTTCCTAACCACATCAAAAATGTTTATCAACTACACATCTCATTAACTTCAAAAAAGGAAGCACAAACAAATTATATATTTTCTTTTTCATTTGTAATCAAACTAAAAATGATATTTTTTCCTTTGAATGCATTGTTGGGCACAGTGGGGGAGAGTTAAAAATGATTAAACGTTTTTTTTTGTTTTTTTCTAAAGCTGATTTTTTTTTTTTTTTTTTTTTTTTTTTTTTTTTGGCTTCAGTATCTGTGTATATTTCTGAGATGAGGTATTATGTACACTATTTACATTATTCAGACTATCGTCCTCATCTTTGTTGCCATGTTTATCAAAATGTTTTGGCCATTGTACGCTCAAGCCTTCTTCAGGTGGTTGGAATGTCGAAGTGAACCCTTTATTTCACTCACTGGTTAAGGCGGTGGAGAACTTTGAGAGGGGAATTAACAGGAGATAACTGACATCCATTAGACATGGCACGTGGAACTAGAACAGTCTACCTCAGTGAGCGAAATAAAGGGTTCAGTTCGATATTCCAACCACCTGAAGAAGGCTGGAGCATACAACTGCTGAAACGTGATAAACATGACGACAAAGATTCGGACAATAGTCCGAATAATGTAAATAGTGTTTTGGCTTCATTTAAATTTGTGTGGCTGGTGTCATTGATATTGACTCGGAATGAGAAATCAAGGTTCTGAGTTCGAATTCCAGTCAAGTTTGTTACATTCACTTACATGCAAATACCCTTGACAAAAGTATGAGGCCATCTCTCCTCCCCAATACCCAAAGCGTTGATAATCTGTAAAAAGAAAAAAAAAAACAGTTAATTATTCAAATTTGGAATTGCAAATTGAATAAATCAATTTTGCTTTTGCAGTTTAACAAGATCAAATGCATCTAATGTTTCACCAGGTTTACAGGCTAGTAAATCATTAGTTCCTATATGATCACTGAAGTTAAGCAAATCAAGCCTGGTCAGTAACTAGATGGGTGACCGCTTGGGTGTACTGGGTGCTGTAAGTTTGGATGTGCAGGTGGTGTAATAGATAATGGTCCGAGATTGTTAATCTTTAACAAGATCAAATGCATCTAATGTTTCACCAGGTTTACAGCCACATCACATTGAAACACCAGTTCCTGTATGATTCCTGAAGTTAATCAACACCATCCAGGTCAGTACCTAGATAGGTGGCTGCTTGAGAATACCATGTCGTAATGGATAATGGCTCTGAATTGTTAATCAGAGAGCCAAATTCCAATTCCAGTTGGGTTCATTATATTCACTTATGCACAAATACCCTTGGGAAAGGTACGAATCCACTTCTTCACTCCAACCCCACTCATAGATTAAGTTGTAAGTATCTAAAAATGTTTAGAGTGTAAGTTTTTTTTTTTTTTTATTTGAGATAATGTTAAAACATTATCTCAAATAAAACATTATCTCAAATAAAACATTATCTCAAATAAAACATTATCTCAAATAAAACATTATCTCAAATAAAACATTATCTCAAATAAAACATTATCTCAAATAAAACATTATCTCAAATAAAACATTATCTCAAATAAAACATTATCTCAAATAAAACATTATCTCAAATAAAACATTATCTCAAATAAAACATTATCTCAAATAAAACATTATCTCAAATAAAACATTATCTCAAATAAAACATTATCTCAAATAAAAACATTATCTCAAATAAAACATTATCTCAAATAAAACATTATCTCAAATAAAACATTATCTCAAATAAAACATTATCTCAAATAAAACATTATCTCAAATAAAACATTATCTCAAATAAAACATTATCTCAAATAAAACATTATCTCAAATAAAACATTATCTCAAATAAAATAAATCTTACAATCTAAACATTTTTTGGCTATAAACAACCTGCAATGGGTTGATAAGCGGTAGAAAATGAATTGATCAAATGTTGTGCCAGATGACAAATATAAAATTACCTTTTTAAAAAATTCATTAGAGGTTGAACAGACATGTTAACAAATTGGACTCTCTTTGAATTTGCTACACGACATTGAAATTAAATTCTCTACACTTGCAATTCTCATAGTCCCTTTTAATATGAAAGTCTAAACTAAATGTTTTAAAAAAATGTTTATTATTGAGGATAACAGAAATGATGTTTTTCTTTCTTAAATTTGATGTGTTGGAAAACATTGAATTCCCCCACCTTTACAACAATTCTTTATTTTACACATTTTCTTTTGCTTACTAGATTTTATATGACAAAGAGAGGCTTATAAAAAGAACTCAGCTGCAACGGTCAATTTATAAAATCTTTGGGAAAGGAGAAGAACAGAAGCCAGATCAAGAAGAAATGGTAAATTTTTGTTAAAATTTTATAGAAGAAGAATTTATTAAAGAAAATCTTTCATTTTTGGTATATGCATGTTCCTGAAACATTGCAATTTTTTTATTATCTTTTCTATCTAATTTGCATTGGTATTAAAACTTTCATTCTATTATTAATTTTTGTTTGTTTATTTATTTTTTTATTTTTTTATTTTTATTTTTTTTAGAATAGTGTCTGGCAGAAATACCTTCCACATAATGGTAAGACATTAGTGAGATGAAGACATCCTTGCTACTAATGTCTTACACTTATGTGAGAGGTATTTTTGTCACACCCTATATTCTCAAAAAAAAAGTCAAAATCTGAAAATCAAATTCTTATTTTTGATTGGTCTCATTCTGAAGCAAACAAAACTCAGTTGAGAAATATGAATCAAAAATCTATTTTCAAAGCGTTTTTTTAAACGATTTGTGTTTTTAAAAAAATTATTCTCCTTCATTTCTGCAGTTAAAACGGATATCATCTCAAGAGCATCTAAAAAACAGGGACCCAGAAATCTTTGACGATTCAGATTTTTACCATATGCTGCTGCAAGATTACATTCGAAGAAAATCAACTGAATCCAGTGATGTTTCTGCAACAACAAAGTATGATTCTTTTTACTAATTTCTACTTCATGTTAGTTGTGTGTGAGTGTGTATGATTAATTAGTGACTTAAAAATTCCCTTTAGAATTGATCGAGTGCCTACAGTAGTGTCATAAATGGCAAGAGTATCTTGCAGACCAGTGTTAAACTGTAGTAAATTTTATTTTCACAATTGTGAATAAGAATTTAAAATTGGTTGTATTATATAGAAAATATTATAAAAATGTTAAAAAAATGAACTGCATCTTATATGTAAAATTGGAGCTGCATCTTGTATCTTTTTGACTCTAGTGTAAATTGGAGCCGTATTTATTTGTATATTAATGGATAGTGATTTTAGTCCTGTAAGACTCTTTTTCAGCATTAAACAATCTGACAAACATTGACATGTCATTAACTTAACAAACTTAAATATCATAGCAGTTCTACCCAGTAAGGTTTGAGGTGAGCCTGTTTATTTTTAAAACTAATGCCTTTAATTATATTTACTATGCTTAGTTGAGTCTGGCACAAGGTTAAATGAAGGCTGAGATAGATAGGGTGCGATGGGTAAATTGTCGCCATTTTATATTTTTAATTTTGAGTATGCGCTTTGTTTTTGATTCTGTCGATTGCTCAGTATAGTAGTGTCAGTTGAACACCGTCTGTGAGGAAAAAGAGCACCATGACACAACTCACTCCATCAGAAATTTGTAAACAGCATGGTATACTGCTTGGCATTTGTGCCGGAAGCTCCAATACAAACATTTCAGAGTGTTTGGGTGTCAATATCTGAGGACAGTACAGAGGATTTGAAAAGAGTTGGATGAGTCTAATTGTGATTACGAAAAAAAAACAAAAAAAAACTCATTCTGATAGGAAAAGAACTGAATTTGTTGGTGAGATCCAAGCCATGATTGACAATGATCCCTCCAAGTCAATCGGGTCCATAGCCAAGGACACAGGAGTTTCTGAGTTTCTTATCAGGCAGGTAGTGCATGAAGACATTTGGTATTTCTCCTACAAGATGAGAAAAGGTCAATCTTTATCCCAAGTCATGAAGGATAGAAGGAAAGATGATGATACAAAGTTTTTGAACAAATTCAAGCATCCCCCTTCAACTGATGGCAATGTTATGCCGCCATTCATCTTCCCACAGGGCCTCGGAGTCAACACAGAGGCTTACATCAAGTGCCTTGAGGCGGTAGTGCTGCCCTGGGCCAAGAGGGTGGCTGCTGGAAAACCCTATGTCTGGCAACAGAACTCTGCACCATGCCACACAATCAGGAGAACTCGGTCATGGCTGTCAGTCAATTTCTGCAACCACATCACTCTTTAAATCTGGCCACCTAACTCCCCAGACTGCAATGATTATTGTGTGTGGGGCGCAGTTGAGCAAGAGATAATCAAAACTCCTTGTAACACGAAAGATGAACTGAAGGTAAGAATTATGGCAGTATTCACCAACTTAAACAAGGAGACTGTTCAGAAAAGATGCAGGAGATTTCGAAGTTGTCTGGAAAACGTGGTTGAAGCCAATGGTGATTTTATTGAATAAATTTACTCTTTAGTATTTGAAGATATTTTTGTGTAATTTTGGTAAATATATTTGTTAAAATGAGATGCCAGTGTTATTTTCATTTTTGTGTAATTTAGACAACAATTTATCATCGCACCCTGTATGTAGGAAAATTGTATTGAGTTAATTTTCCATAAGCCATAATCTGTTTGCTTTAAAAATCAGCAAACAAAATATTAATTTTTGTTTAGGCTTGAACTTAGCGCACACATATTTAACTTCTTGCTTGCCATTAGGAGGTGCAAGGTAGCAGCATAATGGTTATCAACAATAAATCGAACTGTCAAACTGAGTTCAAGTTTTGGCGAAGGTAGCTTATATTCACTGAGTACTAACACTCTTTAGAATAGTATGAATTGACTTTGCTATTTTCTGTTTCATCTCCAAATATCTTGTTAAAAATGTTTTGGCTGACAGAGAAGAGGGATGGGTGAGCAGTTGGCTAAAATACTCTTTTATGACTTACCCTGTTGTCTAGACAGTCACAGTATAAAAAGCTGTTAGACTCATTGTCAGCCTTGACAGGGGACAGTTATGATATTATATAAAGTAGAGTTCCTTAGACAGGTTGGAATGATTATTCTTTTTTAGAGAGAACTCCAACTGGTCTGTCCTTATCTTATTCAAGCTTTCAGTTTGGGAAATTTCCTTCCACCTCTTAATTTAGGTTGTGAGCATTCTATGCTGAAAATTACACATGTACACACACACACACACACACACACACACAAGGTCAATTTCAGAGCTGATCTCTAAAATGACCTACAATTTTTTATTTTTAAAAATTTTAAAGGAGCAATGAATGGCTTGTTAATTTTAATACCTCTAAAATGAAACTGCTCTCTTTTAATCATCCAAGAGAACTCTTTTTACTATCCATCAGCATGACTGATGCTAAAAATTCAGTAGAATGACTAATTTGACCTACTTGGACTAATTTTTTCTGCCGACATGAAGTGGAAAGATTATATTAAATAAATTGCTAAGTCTGTTGTTAGGAAAGTTAGTTCATTGTATTGTGCTTGACAATATTTCTCACCAGAATCCATCATACATATTTATAAATCTACCATTCGCCCTTGCTTTGAATGTTGTTGCCACATCTGGTCTGGTGCTCCTGCTATATATTTAGAAATTCTTGATAATATCCAAAAATTCTATTGGTCCTGACCTAACATCTCGGCTTCAGTCGCTTTTCCACTGCCAAAATGTAGCTTCCCTGTGTCTTTTCTATAAATACGTAAATGGTACCTAGACTTTATGAATTTGAGCACAGTACTAGTTTGTCAGCAAAGTCTCATCATTTTACAATTGAAATGGCAAAATGTAACCATAAGTTCTATGCTAACAATTTTCTTCTGTCACATTTCTCACTTGTAGAAATATCTTCTGACTTCTTGCTTTCCAGTCAATTTTGATCTTCAGAAATTTAAATGCAATGTTAATCGTTATATTTTATCTTGTTAACTCCACTTCTTTTATTGCTCTCTCTGCTTTAAAAATTTTTTTTCCTCATATTCCCTTTGTGTCTTAGTGGCTTTATTGTCTTGCTTGGCATGAAATGATTAAAAAAAAAATGTACCTGTGTAACAAAAAAAAACAGTGTTTCAAAAAGACTCTGTTATTACCTTTTACTCCCTTGGCAATTTTTATTGTCTTAAAAAGTCATTTTTAGAATTTTAATAAAACCCAAACTTGAAACTGCATTAATGATTTTCTTTTCTTGTCAACAATTGATGACAAAAATAAACACTTTTTATTTATTACATTGTTTATTCACAGGAATAATTTTATATTTACAAAATTATAAAAACATGTGAACCAATTCTGTAATATTTATTATTTTTTAAAGAAATAACTATGAAAAAAAAAATTCTTTTTCATGAATTTATTAAAAAATGTCTGAACTATAGGAAAAAAAAAATTACCAATTATTCAGTAAGAGTGGTGTCAAGAGAAAAACCATATTTTGCAAGTATGTTTGTTAAAAACTTATAAAAAAAATTTATTCCAACCAGTCCATCTATTTGAAGCTGAAGTTTAATTTCCTTTCAGACAGGCATGTCTCAAGTCTGGCCTGGGGGCCAAGTTTCATATAACCCCCATGTTATAGAATGTATCACTAATGGCCTGCCAGTATTGTCAATCAGAGTATATAAAATACATACCTAAAAAAAAACAAAAAAAAACAACAATTTTATGTTTTACCAAAAGATTGCAGCAGCACCGTGTAGCTGCTCTCTGGCAGTGTACCCTGACGTTGGCCTTTTCCATCACTGCCTTTTAACCAGCCCTGGCCTACATACTGCAGTCCAGATATTAGTATCACCCTTCACATTAGAGTAGGCAAGTTATTTGTTTTGGTCATCTGAGATGAATAAATTCTAAAATCTTAGTGAATTAAATTTGTTTTGTATTGGTCAAAATCAGTTATAAATATATTTGGACACTTGGACTTTTGTCACTTTCTGTTTTCTACAGTGTAACCCGGATATAAGAGAGTTGTCGGGACTGGAGAAGAAGTCTCTTATATCCGGGTTTGGTCTATTATATATACATTAACACAGGCTCTAATTTGGGACCAGAGAAAATCTCTCTTATATCTGGGTTTCTCTGTACTTCTTAATAAGATGAATGTTGGTGTTATATTCCTATTCATATGTTTTTAAGTTAAAAGTTGACAGACAACATTAATTATCAATTATATGTAATGTTTAAGATTAACCTGAGATACAGCTTCTTGGAAGTTCTTTTTTTCTCAGTCATATTTTACTTCATCTTATATGGGCTTAAGATATGACAGTGTGAGTAACCTTGGTAAGAAGCCTGTTTAAATTTATCTGTTATCCATGTGAAGAATTGAAAATCTGCCATTTGCAATAAAAATTTTCATAAGATATTTCATGTGCATTTAATTTTAGTGGTTCAAAGAATGCCAAGCAGAATGGTTGGCCCTTACGCATATTCACTTATCAAATCTGGTCCTCTTTGAAAAAACTTTGAACACCCTTGCTTTAAGTCGAAGCAAGCAAGGGAAGTAACTCTTGGTGACTACACTGAGCATTTACCTAAGATGAATTGCAAATCTTTTTAAAAGAAGCTTTCATGATTGATAGTTGTCTTAATTTTTTTTTATTAGAGAAAAAAATGCAGCTGTGTTTTGACATTGAATATATAATTTTATAATTTTTATTTATTACCAATAGGTAACTTTGTATTTTCCTGGGGGGATAGTAAAAACACAATTAGTCATAGTGAATACTATTCTGACTGTTGATGTAAGCAAGATATTGAAATTGTTCCTATGTACCTTCAATTAATCAGCACAATTCAACCTACCGGAGAGGTTTTTTGGATAAATATCTAAATATAAAGCTTACCTTTTTAACCTTTTGAACCCTGACTCCCTGATGAGTATCGTATATTCACTTTCACATGGTGG